TGTACCTTTGCGAAGCAAATTACAGAAACACTGCACAGTTATTCACAAGTCAAAACGTTTTCATAGCGGCCGAGAATATCTAGCTAGCTAGATGTAGCTAGCTTGGGGCCGGTGGTTAGCCTATTCAGCCTAGCATGGCTAGCTTGATCTACTGAGCAAATAAAAGTACATCTGAGACATTATTGTGCAGATTAAAACCCCAGTGCATGTAGCTGATTTTACCTTCGTCGTGGTAGTCATCGTTGGCCACTGAATCCGCCGTTTGTAGTCCTGCCCGAGTTTCTTTATTTTTAGCCGGTGTTGTGCCGTGGGGCTGTGGACATTCCCAGGTCGAGTGAAAGCTACTGAACTGGCTTCAGTAGCATTCCCTGGGTCGCGTCCTAGGCGTAGATCTCCAGAAGCGCCGACACCTCCTCATCATTTCTTGATGCTTGCCATAACTGCTTTCAAAAATAAACCCAACGCTCCGTTTTTGTAGCGAGGAAAAACAATGGCGTCTCCACACAACATTTTCACAGTTGTACGGGCGTGGTTTGCAATTCGCCCAGCCAATCAGCACTGGGGCACTTTTCACCGACAGAAAAGTACGCTCTCCCAGCGGGCTCTAATAATGGGGGTTAAAAGTACCCGAGATTAAGTACGATTTTTGGTGTGAACGCGACATAAGGGGTACTCACGGAACTAAAACGCGAAAAGTACGGTGAAAGTACTCCGGTGTGAACGCGGCTACTATAAATCAGCAAAGTCACTTAAACATAAATAAATAAAGACTGATTCTTGAAACTGTTGTAAAAACCCTACAACTTCTTCATCCAAGCTCTCAATCAGTGTTATGTTATTCAGTTTGCAGCTCATGCCTTAAAACAGACACTTCAGACCGATTATAAAAATGTGTTCATGAGAAAATGTAATCTGACTCCATATATCACATAATTGTTTGACTAAAAACTATACTTCAACTAACAATAAATGAAGTTCCCCTTTAAACACAGCCCCGGTCTTCTGACGGGGTCTATCTATGTACTGGCTGGTAAATGTTGTGCCAGTTTCTGTCGCCCTGTCACTGTTCTCCCGCTAACAGTCACTCTCTAGTTCTGCTGGGTTCTTGTTGACTTCTTCACTGGTTTGAGACAAGCGACTCTATTAGAACACCTCCCTTTGTAGCCAGACTTCACCACAGCAGAATCGAGTTTCTGTTTTTAGGTCTCAACAGCTCCACGTCAGGTATATCGTCGCCCCTTGAACTGCAGTCGGTGTAAACAGGAGGACTTGGTAAGGACCCGCCGTCTTGGGCGAGTACTAGGTTTTCGTCTTCATCTTTTGGGTGAAAACCCATCATCTCGAACTCGCTAGCTGTATGGACACAATAGTTTTCTGTGTGGGGGAACAACATCATTCGTAATGTATTTTCCTTCTCCGTTGCAACTTACAACGGAGAAGGGGGAAAAAGGGCCCGAAGCCCCAAAGGGTTGAGCTTTTTCGGGCCCCCTCTCCGTTGGCACTTAGTCATTTTTTCGACAATTTTTTTAAACTTCATTTTTGATTATTTTAAGATATAATTAACCCTTTTCTTCACTTTTTTCTTCTTTCCACAGGTGGGTGCGCCTGGCAGGCCGCCTATGAGCACCCAAATTTGGCCTAGACCCTCCAGGATTTGTGGGCTAAGCTCCATAAACTGACAAAATCACCCAGAAATGTCACTTTCCTAGCCCAAAAATATATAATACAAATACATTTAAATAGTAAAAGGTACAATTGTGCTCCGAATTACCCGGAATTGGATTTATATAGCCCCATGATAGTGATTAAAAATCATTTTCATGGAGAAAAGTGTTAAAACGCCTGATTAAAACATACACAGGACCCCAGTGAGCTCCAGAGTATGTGCATTGTTTCAGGGAACCATATTAATGATAAAATAAATGCATCATTTTAGGGGGAAAAGTGTGTAGAGAACCTCACTTTCCAAGGCAGAAATAGTGATTAAAATGCGGGGAAGTGTCTTAAATATGGACATAGAGTACCCAGAGAGCAGGATGCAGCACCTGACACCTGAAAGGTGGGGGAAAGTGTTTTTAAACGTCTGGACGACTGTTTTAGCTTGTCCATTTGGAGGAGTTTTTTTTAACATTGAACCTCTCCTGGAAATGTACAAAACTTGTACATTTCCAGGAGAGCTTCAAAGTTAATCAATATCCTCCAAATGGATACGAGTCAGAATGCAGCACCGGACTTTCTGAGCCAGGAAAAGTGTTCTAAATGCCTGGGAAAGTGTCTGAAATAGGAGCAAAGTACCGGTTTCAGCAGACAGCCTCAGCTAATTTCACAAGAATGTACCCTGAGAACAGGCTGCAACACAGCACTTGACAAGCCAGGAAAAGTGCTTGAATCCTGGGTAAACATTGTTTAAATAGTCTGATACTTGCAGGGGCATCACAGCACTTGACAAGGCAGAAACAATGTTTAAAAGGTCGGGAAAAGTGTTTTTAAACGTCTGGAAGAGTCTTTTAGCCTGTCCTTTTGGAGTTTGTTTTTTTTAACATTGAACCTCTCCTGGAAATGTACAGAATCTGTACATTTCCAGGTATTGACTACCAGCTGGTAGATAATGTGTTCCAAACTTTATTTAGACCATTTCAGAACTGTTCAGTGTTTTTACTATTTTTGTAGTATATATTCTTAAAATAAAAAAGCTTTCTTTCTCTGATATGCTACTTGTTTTACTGTGCTTTATAGCCTGGTATTGACTTCAGTTATCCAGTGTTCGTGATCAGTTGTGCAAAACATTTGGCTTTATTCCCATGTCTGTTGCATATAATTAGTGGATGAATGTATGTGTTCTGTTGATAGGTTATAGACTTTCTACTTTTCTCAACAGTTTTTTCACTTTAATTGGATAGTCCTAACACATGCCTACACACGCTTAGTGGAGAATGCCTACTAAAAGTATGCTGATAGTCGACATGACCCTGTTGACCTTCAACTGACAGATTGATTTTGAGTAGTTAATTGACCATTTTGAAGAGGCTGACACAATCTACAGATAGTAAGGTTGAATAGTGGTTAATAACCTGTTGCAAAAAAACATGTTGACAGTCAACTGACACTTTTTGTAAAATCTATAGATCAACACTTGAGATGTACCTTATATTCTACTGGCAGTTAGTTGAATGCATTTTACTTGTCTGTTGAAACAGTGTTGTTGAATGTCAACTGATGACTTATAGAGTGTCAACAGATGGACTATCAAAATAAAGTGTTACCAGGAGTTCTATATTCCTATATGACAGGCACACCAGCCTCTGCCGGGTCTGGTTAGGAGTCTGCAAGCCCCAGCCGCTGCCCTGGCCGCCCCCCCAACAAGGACAGGGGCAGAAAGAGAAGAGATGCAAGCTCTGTGCCCCTTGAGACAATTAAACACGCCTTACATTCTTCAAATGTGATGGCTACGCCCTGATGGTAAAATGCCATGTGGTGACTATTAATGGCTTTTGTGTTAATGTAAGAGCAGTTCCAAAGTAAGGAGGGAGAAACGAACACAACAGGAGGGTTAAACAACGACTGATAACACCAGCCCCTCTCGGTTCACACGGAAACACAGAACATGTTTCCTGACTGATGCGTGTGGACTGTTTCTGATTTAAAAACATAAAGCCCTTAAAGGTGGCAAAGTGACAACCAGCTTGAGTGTCTCCTTTACAAAAGGTTGTTGTACAAATCACTTTTAAACTTGATCCTAAACACATGTTGATATTTAGCCCATGTTTAATAGGCTCTATGTTAATATAACAATTATTTGGGGCTATTTACTTAGGGAAGTGTTCCGTGTGGCTGGTTTATTAGACATTATTATGCTATACATTTGAACAACCTCTAAGGTGTATGTTTCCAATGCAATCAACTTTAAAAGGAAATGCATAACAGTAATTTACCATTCACCACACAGCCAGTATCAGTATGGGTTGTTCTAAGAGCAAGGAATATCATTGTAAGTCCAAAGCAAGAAAAGTCATTATCTGTCACATTCAAACACTCAAGATTCAAAGGCACAATAGCTACAGCGAAGTTTGGCAGTGACCATCTGAAGTCCCATGCTGCTCCGACAGTACAAGATACAATATCCTTAAGACATCAAAAACAAGTAAGGATAGAGCAAAGGGAAAGAGAATAGTGACAGAAACATGGACCTACGTGTCTTTCTTAATAAAAGCCAGGAAACACACTTTAAGAGAAGCTTATGTAGCCAAAATATCATAATTCTTTGTGATGGAAAGATGAGTATGTTGCTTTGGTGCTGCTTTTGTCCCCTCTCGCACTAGCTGATGTTAACCACTAGATGGCAGTAATGTATTTTCATTATTATCATAGTTTAAATTTAAAAAATCATTGTTATGAAGATTGGATTTTTTTAGATACAAGGTATTAATCTTACATATTGAGCCTGTAACATAAATATGTAATGCTTAATATGTTGTGTGGTAAAAACCCATATGTACATGTGGGATTCATTTATTAAATATAGGCCTATAGAAGAGATGGAATGTAATATTGTCTGATAGATAGATACTTTATTGATCCCAAATTGGAAAACTCTTGTGTTATAGCAGCAGTGTGTCCAGGCATTACAACATGTTAAAGGTGGAATAAATTATAGACAAAATAAAATACAAATAATACATAATAATAAACAGCACATACGCATATCTACAGTAGAAAAGATCACAAATAATTCTCAATAGGCTATACAATATTCCGGATAATTAAACATGTTCTATAAAATACCAAAAAACTGCAGCAACAGAATTATAGATTAAACTGCAGGAGCAGAGACATACGATAGTATGTTAAAACAATAACAGATGTGGCAAATTGTTCATGGCAATGGAGATGATATAAGTCTCTGTTATTCTACTTTCTGACAGTGAAGCCAAAGGGAGGGGGAGAGGGGTGGGGAGTGTGTGCGAGAGAGGGAGGGAAGGAGGGAGAGAGAGAGGGAGAGAGGGAGACAGACACTTTGCAGCGGCAGCTCGGCAGCAGCAGACGGCGGCCCTGCCTCCGGTCCCTCAGCACCGTGCTCCTCTGATCCTCTCCTCTCTGCTCTACTCCCCGCTCTCTGCTGCGCACTGGCCTACAGAAATGTCCGCCAGACCAGGATTCTACCGGCAGGAGCTGAACAAGACTGTGTGGGAGGTTCCGGAGAGGTACCAGAACCTGACGCCGGTGGGCTCCGGAGCGTACGGCTCGGTGTGGTGAGTCTGTGTGTGTGTGTGTGTGTGTGTGTGTGTGTGTGTGTGTGTGTGTGTGTGTGTGTGTGTGTGTGTGTGTGTGTGTGTGTGGTGTGTGTGTGCGTGCGTGTGCGTGTGTGTGTGTGCGCGCGCGGAGGGGCGAGGCTGCAGCCACAACATTTACTGTATCGGTGATGATGTCGGGATGTATCCGCTTATGGAGACGGGTGTTTGGATTTCATCCTTGTCATTGTTGTTTATATCATTCCATTGGCTTGGCCGCTTCTACATCAATATTACCAGAATTTATTTTTGTAAAATACATAAATATAGCCTATTCGCCTAACCCTAACCCTTTTATGTTTTAATATGGAAATGAATATGCTTTTCTAGCCTTTGTGTACCGCTGTCAATACAAATGACTACACAGCCTCAGTACAGGAATTTCCCAAATAAAGCCCCCACCAACACACACACACACACACACACACACACACACACACACACACACACACACACACGCACACACACACGCACACACACACACGCACACACACACTTAGTATGTAGATGTGCTCTGCAGAGGATGTATTGGGACCCTGAAGATGCATGCCACATTATTTACCACATCACACACCTGCACACACCTCCCTCTCTGACATTAAGACATTTCCCGTCTTTCAACCTGCAACTGCTTTTAATTTTTAAACAATGTTGTATTAGCTGGTGGATCATGTTGCCATGGCGATGTGTCAAGGTGATAACCATCTCCAGCAGTCCCTATACATTTGGCTGCTATAGCAAGCTGATGCTTACCTCGGGAAATGTGGGACTAATGTCTGGCAGTATCACATGATGAGGACACAAATCAGATGTTAAAGCGTTTTAGTGAGAAGTGAGAAGTATCTTAAGTGGTCCGAAAGATCTTCCAGATAATAGATTTGTCCTGGCAGCGGGGCCGGATACAACCTAACAATTTATAAAAACCTTTGTGGAATTTAGGTCTTTGCGTTGTGGGCCCTTTGTGAAAACTGGTTATAGACTAATCCTACCTGCACAGTCATGAAATAAGTCATAAGAAAAAGAAAAATTGAAATCATCGGCACCTCACTGTATCTTCCTAAATCTCAAAATCCTGTGATGCTTTTTTTAACTAAAGGGTGAGAGCGACAGAAGACATCTGTGAGCACTCACTCACGCTGTTTTGAGATTGGCTGTTAAGTTTGGAGATATCGTTTTTGGTTTGGGCCTCCTCTGCCTAGGTGTACAAAGCCTCTGCACTGAATACTGTCTCTTATGTTTCAGACATGTAGGAGATTGGCTTCTGTTGTTTTAGGATATCATCCTTCTACCACCATCATATTTAGTTAGGATGTGTGCACTGTATTGTGTTGGATCACAAACACTCTCAATAGCTTACCTGTTAAGCTGCATCTCTCATTGTCATTGCCAACATTCTTAAATAGAAGGTTTTACGCTTTCGGACTGTCCAGTCAGCGGTTAATATCGTGCTGTTCTGTTGTGGCTCGTCTTTACAGGAGTGTTTTGGGCATAAACATCTTGCCAATACTGCAGCTTTAAAGCTCAGATTTGCACAATAGTAAAATGTAGAGCTGGATGATGTCGTCCAGCTGTTTCATATACACCCTCAGGAAGACGGTATGCCCACAGAGAAGGGAACTGGTCAGCTTTGATTCCCATGCTATACCTGTCTTTGTAAGCAGGGGGAAAACACATTGTCCTAAGCATGTAGCATTGGCATTGACATATGAACATCCAGCAGAATGAGTGATCAGAGCACATGTGTAACCCCAGCAGTGTAGAACCTGTTTGGCAACACAACTACTTGGTTATCTTTAGGAATACGGTAGACAGTGGTTGGGTTAGAATAAGTGGCATTACAAAAGTATGGGTGTTACGTATAGAAAATGGTTTCACATGGGAAACAAACAGGTGTCCTGGGTGATGGCTTGTGTTTTCAAAGGTTGTCACAAATTAGATACTTGGGTTTTATGCAAATTACATTGTATAAGTCCAGCATGACTGAAGGATGCCACAATAACAGAGACATATGTTGAATCTTGATATTAATTCTATACAGTACCACTATAAGAAAAAAACGATTAATATATCCCATATAGTTCTTAAACACATGTTCTATTGTCACCTGGGCTGGAGGACAACCTACAGTAGTGTTTTTGTGTTTTATGCATTACCCTTTGCCATCTTATTTGTATGTTTTAACTTTTTTATCCAATATCTTATACATGTTTTATTTATTCATACTTGTCTAACTGTAACTAGTCTGCTGCCATGGTAACTAGAGCTTTCACACACTCTTGATTTCATCAAATGCTGCTCTGATGCATTGTATATTACTGTTAGTGTTTTTAAAATCAAACAATTATTTATTTTTGAATTTCTGAGCTAATCGACAATCTTTTAAAAAGACCCCTCAATATAGAAGTAACCCTTGTTAGGAATCTTTTGAGCCAGGTTTCCTGCCACCCAAGAAGTGAAGAGATGTATATGTGCGCTTAGTTAGAATGATCAGAGGTGTAAGTGGCAGACACATACAGTATTGGGGGATCAGAAAGCATTTCTCCTGTTTTCTACTGCACATTCTGAACTGTTATATTTCACATGCAATATATGGACAGAACATAAGTGGGTAGGATGACACTGGTAAAACTCAAACTCTTTCTTAGATCACACACACACACACACACACACACACACACACGCGCACACACACACACACACACACACACACACACACACACACACACACACACACACACACACACGCACGCACGCACACACACACAAAGGACATTCCTGCACCACCCACCATGAACCTGCATTGTTGATGTTGATGTTCAGCCATTGTCACAGACTTTCTCCTGGCAGGACTTGGGAGGGAGCCGGCTGGGGGATGGGGGGTTAGAACAAGACATATATTGGTGTGTGTGTCGGGATAGGGGGTGAGGATAGTCCCACAGCCTACACCTTGAGATGCACAGTAAAACAGCTCTCATTATTTATCTCTTGGTGAACCCTCTTGAGATTGCAGGACTGAGGTCAAGGATCCGACAAGCTCTTATAATCCTTTATAGCTAGAGATGTTATACATCATCATCATATGGGAACAAAAAGACATGTTCCAAAAGAGAACACTATTGTACAGTGCACATTTAATAATATAACGTGCATTACCTCTAAAAAATAGATACAAATTCCCCACTTGGGATGATAAAGTATATCGATCAAATCAAATCATAATAAGACAAAATGATTGGAGGACTGTTATATCCCTATTCTATTCCACACTCATTGTCTTTCAGTTTCCTGCCTAATCCCTTTTTCTGCCTCTGCTTCTTGGGACAAAAAATTGACACATTTTGGACCAAGGTTGCGGTCGAATAGTCCAAAAATCAGCTCCTAAGTTCTATCCCTATCGTCTATCCCTTGACCTCTGAGTGAAACGTCACGGGGTTAAGGGATAGTGGATAGGAGAATTCAAAAGGACTTAGGAGAAGAGACTGCGGTACTTTAGAGAATCCGACTGCACTTTCACTATCCGACGTGTTTATGATGCGCCAGCGGAGGTCATGAATGTGCGTCTGCTGCTGTGGGGAAACTATGGAAACTACAGTTTTCTATACAGCGGACTACAACATGGATGTTTAATAAGAACGAGGGACTACTGTAAACTCATCTAGAGACTCTGCACCGTGCTCTGATGCTGTTGTTTTATGCTTTATGAACGGGGACAACAGAGAAACATATTCTTCATGACCAAAGATGGAATTGAAATAAAAAAGGAAAGTGAAACTTATGCTCATCACCCTCTCCCTCCGGTCCACATTAATACAAATGATCCCAATACGTATGATTGTATGAAAAGATGTTAAAATCAATACAAATGTATTTATTATAAACGTTAGTCCTTAACATCTATCACTGTGTATATCACCATTCAAACATCTTTTAAAAGTTGAACAACCCCCACACAGCTCAGTAAAGACTGTGAAATGTTGACTTTATTTGATCATTTCAGTAAAAACTAACGTTCATATTTCTCTTTTTGATTATAATACTGATGAACGTTCAAAACAAAGCACTTTGGCAACTTACCACATACGTTTTAAAATGCTTAATAAGCACCGTAACTTTCATGATATCATTTCTCGATCATAATCGGTTGTTTCCGTGAACGGCCGACTGTTGTGTGACGGCAAATGCCGCGGCCGCAAGGCATTGTGGGGCAGCATTTTCTCCTCTCCTTTAGGTTAGGGAGGTCCAGTGGTTCCTAAGCTAAAGGAGGTTATAAAGGAAGTTTGAAACCTCCTTTCCTTTCATCTAGAGAATTTGAACGGCACTTATCATGGCTGCCACTGAGGGACTTCCGGGTCATTTCACTCCGTTAGGAAGGTTCCTAAGCTAAATGGACTATTCGACCGCAACCCAAGACTGTGAGAATATGCACAAAGCTGATCAAGGCTGCATTCATCTCATGTCATCATATGTAACATCTGTTCTTTAAAACCGAGCTCTGGCAGGAAGCTTCTCATTTCAATGACTATGAATAAAACAAAACATGTCTGCTTCATTTTCTCCTGTCAAAAGCTTTTGTCAGTGCAGTGTTTGTCGATTGGAAATGTGATGAGCAGAAACGAGATGGTGTTGGTCAATTTGCTCTTGTCTTATTGTTATTTGTCATTGGTTGGACAAGAGCATATTGAGCAACCAATCAACTAGCAGAAGGTGTCAGCCCTATTTGCTTCTTTGCTAAGGGTTGTATGAGGACATCACTGTCATGTCAGTTCAGCATGAAATATCTGCAGCCATCCGGTTAGCAATGATTGGACACATAATGAAACTACACAGTGTGCTTTTTAAACATCATTTTTGGATGAATTAAAAAACAAGATATAGTTGATTTTGGACAGTGCAATGCTACCTGTTCTCCTCTGTTTGGTATTCATGCTAAGCTAAGCTAAAGTTATGCTAGCTTTATATTTAGCATACATCTTCTCATCTTACTCTTGACTCTTATACGTCTGTGATGATGAGCATGAAACAGGATTGGTGTGTTGGATGCAAGAAACAAACCCCATGGAAGCTAATATGTTGAACATGATCTATTTGCAAGAATCAATACCCTCCCCCCTTTAAATACGTGCAAAACATAAATGTACTCCTGACGGATTTCAACTGATAAGATCAGGAGATTAACATGAAACAGTTTTCCTGTGTGTGTGTGTAAACAATGTACTTCTAACATTGGATATTAGCTGCTCCTCCCCCCTCTGCCTTCAGGAGAGTGGCGGTGCATTAAGAGCTCGGATATGAAAAATATATTCTGAGACAATAGAAGGGGAAGGAAATCAATGCATTGGCTGGACTCTGTGTTCTGACAGAGTGCAGGCAGACCCATGCATGGAAGTGAGGAGTGAGGTGCGAAGCGGTGTGTGAGGCAATGTGTGAGGTGTGTGAGGCAGTGCAGTCAGTGTGTGAGGCAGTGCAATGTGTGAGGCAGGTCAGTGTGTGAGGCAGTGTGTGAGGTGTGTGAGGCAGTGCAGTCAGTGTGTGAGGCAGTGCAATGTGTGAGGCAGGTCAGTGTGTGAGGCAGTGTGGGAGGTGTGTGAGGCAGTGCAGTCAGTGTGTGAGGCAGTGCAGTGTGTGAGGTGTGTGGGGCAGTGCAGTGTGTGAGGCAGGTCAGTGTGGGAGGTGTGTGAGGCAGTGTGTGAGGCAGTGTGTGAGGCAGTGCAGTGTGTGAGGCAGTGTGTGAGGTGTGTGAGGCAGTGTGTGAGTTAGTGTGTGAGGTGTGTGAGGCAGTGCAGTGTTTTAGGCAGTGTGTGAGGCAGGTCAGTGTGTGAGGTGTGTGAGGCAGTGCAGTGTGTGAGATGTGTGAGGCAGTGCAGTGTGTGAGGTGTGTGTCACAGATTGAGGAGGTATTGGCTGCTGTCCGGGCTCACGCCTGGCAGAGACTTCCGGACTGGCAGCAGGTGATCACACTACACATGGATGCACATAGGGTGTAGTTTACCCATGCATGTAAGCAATATTGGTCAACATGAAATGATACATTAATATTTACTGTGAGTTTCATACGGTTGAAGAAACAGGAGGCACGCACCATTCAGTGGGCACATCCACTCTTCTAACTGGGAACTGAATATTGCAGGTTTTTTGGTGAAAAATAAATTGAAATGTAGCACTGCCACAACCATGGATAAATCAAATACAAAGAGTCTCACCTATTACAAATTAAATATATCTGATTGCTGTGCAGCAAGGCAGGATGGATATGAGAAAGCGTGTGGCTAACAGTTTTTTTCACAGTTAAAATAAACACAGTATTGTTGAAATATGGAAAATACCAGATTTATTTAAAACATAATAATGTGGGTGTGGTCTCTCAACTCGTACAACCTCAAGGAGTTCCTGAAATGAACAGCACACATTCGAAAGAAGGTTATTTGAACTGATAGTGTCAGATATCTACTGCAGTATTTCACATAATGAAGAGTTGATACCATAGCATAGGCAATGCAAATGTATTTGTTTAGCACATTTCCAGGCAAATCAAAATACAGACAATGTTAAAGATTTACAATTTAAATATGCTAAAGAACAGGCTGGTCATGCAGATTAAAAAGTAAACTAGTGCAGTATGTACGAATCAAGTATAAATCCTCTTTTTGATGTCACCTCTTACTCCACTTGGAATGTCCACTTTTTTCCTTTCTGTGTTCCACTTCTTGCTTCTTGCTCCATTTCTGCAGTGCTGCACATTATTTCACACGTCTCACCCATGTTTCCTTCCTGTTTGTGTGCTCTGCTCATGTTGGCTGTATTATAACTGCTGTGAGTGTTGAGGAGCTGCCAGGACTGAAGAGATATTGGAGGCACAAAGGCAGCGGCATCAGAGGCAGCAGGGCTCAGCGTGCGATATGTGGAATTACATTAACATTTCAAAAGAGGAACATGAAATAATACTCCACACTTTTACAATATCTGACATCTGCGCCTCTCTTGTTCAACCACATCCTCTTTCACCATCTCATTCTCTATGAGTCTTGCTCTTTCCCCCAGTCATATACAGACATCATCATCAGCTGGTATCAGGTTTGATGCATTCTGGAAATGTTAAAACAGTTTGGCTTTATCCAAAATAAAAAGATGCATCTACCCACACAGCCAAAGCTCACAATAACACTGTATTTCTATTTTTTTGCATTTAAAAGAAAAAGTGTGAAACATAAATGATGTTCCTTGCTGGGACTTAGATTAGCTTGGATAATTAGAGGAAACATGTCAAAACAGCTAGCCTAGCATAATGAAATCAGAGGAAGTAAACACCAAGAACATTTCCAGCATATTACCCGCCATAAAACCCCAGATATAATGTTTTACACAGACAAACAAGATAGTAAGTATGCTAAACGTGATGGTGGGTGTATTTGATTACCTTTGCTCAGCTAGGGTAGCTGTTTCCAGTCTTCATGGCTTTATGTATTTTGGTTGTAGCATCATGTTTACTGTACATGAGAGTATCTTCTTAATTATAATGATACTTTTTTCAAAATGTATTTCTCTCTGTTTACTCTTTCCAGTTCGGCATATGATGTGGTCCTGCGGCAGAAGGTTGCAGTGAAGAAACTATCGAGGCCTTTCCAGTCTCTGATCCACAGCCGCCGCTCGTACCGGGAACTCAGGCTGCTCAAGCACATGAAACACGAGAATGTTAGTGCCGCGCATAAAAATACCCCGAGACAGACAGACGGCTCTCTGCATGTCTGTCTGATATCGATCTGCTCTGTTTGTCTCTGTCTCTGCAGGTAATCGGGCTGCTGGACGTCTTCACACCTGCTGCAACGTTAGAGGACTTCAATGAACTGTAAATCTCTCATCCCTTCATGTTTACTACATGCGGTACAGCTGTTCCACAAACACAATGATTCTGCTGGTAAAAGGGGGAGGAGATGTTGGAGGAGGCCATCCTTGAGAATTATAGGCTTGAGGTGTTTTACGGTTGCCATGGCAGCAGCACTACTCCCTCTCACTCATACACTCTCCCCTTTTCCAGCTACCTGGTGACTAACCTGATGGGTGCAGACCTCAACAACATCGTGAAATTTCAGAGGCTGTCAGACGAACACGTGCAGTTCTTGATTTACCCAGCTTCTGCGCGGCCTCAGGTAATTTACAGCTCACAGACCATACACCTGCTATATGCCATACACATATACATAATATAAGAAGTTAGTATTCAGATGGTACACCAGAGATTCCCAACCATTTCAGTCTGATGGACCCCCACAGCCCCCTCATTGACTCCACCCGTCACGTCCCAAATGTGTTCATTTGAATTGATTTTAAAGAACATTTTAATTCCTCTATTAATTATATAAAAGAGTATCATGGTTACAATATATTTTTCATAAAGTTGAACTGTCACTGTTTAGGATGCTATAGTCTTTTTCTTTCATACTTTCAATTAGGATAGGCAGATTTTTGTCATTTAAACCAGTAACCTTTAGCTAACTATTTTGAATTGTTTACTTATTACTTCTGGCTGTCGAAGTCAAGCATATATCGTTACTTTTAGCTAAATATTTGAGCCCATTATCTGACATATTTGAATTATTTATAAATGTATTTCTGCTAACTGTATAACTCTCTACTCTTGTTTAGGTTTTTTTTCAATTATAATTCCAAGTGGTATAAGATGCTTAAAGTGAATGCAGGCTGTAAGTAGTATTTGGAAACGACAGTCTACGTTGCTAAGTCCTCTCTATGTTTATATTGAGTTCGTCCTTCTGTTATTCTTTGTGGATTCCATCCAAAGCTCGCATTCTCACACTGAATGGGCTGTTGGAACAGACAAAAGCAGTTTCCCTTTGGACAGGGGCTAATATGGTGACCCTCCCTGCTGACCGCTTTCTCCCTTTATGTCTTCTCTCTCCTCCCCCATCCTCCTGCCCACCCCCCCGCCTCTCCAACAGTACATCCATTCAGCGGGGTTGATCCACAGAGTGAGTCCCTTCTCTTTGCTTCTCATTTTTGACTTTAAGTTTGATAGACCACACCCACATTATTATATGACATTTGCTTGGTTTCAAATGATAGTTAACCCCCTTAAAAAAATGCTTTTCCACTGTAATAGCCCTCAAGAAACTTCATAGACGATTTGTTATGTTTAACCAATACTGTTTTTTAAAACACTGCAATAATGTGTTGTTTATTGTTCTCCAAGTCTATTATATGACTAGGTCCTCTTATATATTCTCTGCTTTACTATCTCTCCAGGACTTAAAGCCGAGTAATGTGGCAGTAAATGAGGACTGTGAGCTGAGGGTAAGACTGAGAGTTAACCTACTGATCCTTCACTGCAACATTCTGACTCTATTAAAGACTGTCTTCCTGTCCTACAGATCCTGGACTTTGGATTGGCCAGACAGACAGACGATGAGATGACAGGGTATGTGGCGACTCGCTGGTATCGAGCGCCGGAGATCATGCTCAACTGGATGCACTATAATCAGAATGGTATGAAAAATAAACATTTAGGACTCTTTTTAAATACTTAAATTCAGAACTGATTATATGCTTAATGATTAAACCTCTGGTGTTTCTGTTACAGTTGATATTTGGTCAGTGGGATGCATAATGGGTGAGCTACTGAAGGGAAAAGTCCTCTTTCCTGGCACTGACTGTATCCTTATCAGCGTGGCAAGAGTCCTCTGCAATATGCAGGTTCCCCCCCTCTTAGGCCCGTCCACACGGAGACTGAATTATCTAGGTTCTTGTATTCTGTGTCTACGAGAAGCTAAAGCTCATTTGATTTACTGATCTTTGTGTTGTGGGACGATGACTAGAAAATAACTTTCACTGGTGCTGAGCAAGTAGAATATATGTCTTAGTTTGTCTGTATCCAATGTGACAAGATAATATGCTGAGTCAAGTCCTAACAGTCCTTAACTCCTCCTGCACTAAGATATCGACCAGTTGAAGAGAATCATGGAGGTGGTGGGGACTCCGACCCCAGACCTGTTAAAAAAGATCTGCTCTGAACATGTGAGAGAGAGAACATGAATGGAGTGATTGTTTCCACACACACCGTAATGTTGCTTCTATTGACATAGTCAACTGTTATTATTGACATCCAGTCATTCCAGAGACAGGGCTGTTGAGTGAGTGGTCAATATGTGTGAGTGTTGGAATGATTGATCACTACCAAATCCGTCTACATTGTCACGTGACATGAGTTGAATGCTGATTTCCATTTGCAGGCACAGAAGTACATCCAGTCTCTGCCCTTCATGCCCCAGCAGGACCTAGAAAAGATATTTAGAGGGGCCAATCCACTAGGTGGGTGATGCACAGCAGATTGGATTACCAATTTAAATTTGATTGAATGGCTTCCAGAGGATGCAGAAGATCAAGTTGCTCTCCCAAAGTGCCAATGAGTAATTCAGTTTAAACTTGTTTTCAACCCCCCCCCCCCCCCCCCCCCCCCCCCCCCCCCCTCTCTGTTAGCTGTGGATCTCCTGAAGCGTATGCTGGTTCTGGACTGTGATGGGAGGATCTCGGCCTGTGAGGCTCTGTCCCACCCTTACTTCTCACAGTACCACGATCCCGACGACGAGCCAGATGCCCCCCCGTACGACCAAACGCTGGAGAGTAAAGACCGAACTCTGGAAGAATGGAAAGGTAAAGCTTTCACATGAAAAACAAATATTTAAACAGTGGATAGCACAATAACACACTTATTTCCCCTTTCCCCCTTTGAGACAAAAACAGAAGATCTTTAAAAATTGGGGAACACCGACAACACCACCAAAGATATTAAGAGATTTCAGTGATGACATTAAGAATGTGATTATTTCTCAGTAGGGGTTATATGCGTTGTGGAATGACCCAGAGCTGATGTGATGTTTATTTGATAGATGTTACACTAAGCTAATCAAGCACAATTATAATAGCACCAACTAGAAGGTTCCACCATAGAACTCTTGGAAATAACCTTGCGTTGTGAAAATGTAACTTTTATTCAACTGAATTGGTTGTTAATGAGCCTCAACCACATTTGAATCCAACCCACGGCAAGACGTGAAAATGTCACGTTGGTACACACAGGGAGCCGTAAGGATGACACGATTTCACCCCCTCAACGTTGCTAGGGAGGCAGCTTTCGCTTCATACACCATGAAATGAGCATTCTCTGTCGATTGATTTTACAATTAAAACACACCAGGGTGTCCTTGTTAATTACACAACATTCATTGGTTTAAATTGTGTACAATGCTTTTGTGTTTTTCCTTTTCGACGAGAGACAAATATTTTTTCTCTGAGTTTTGGATAGAATGAAGACATTACACTACCCATGATCCTCAGGAATCTTTGAAGCTCTGTGATTGGATGTGTTACTCGCAATGCATTTTGGGAGACGTAGTTGAAACGATAAGTAGAACAAAAAATGTGTTAAAAAGAAAATAATACTTTATTCCGCGTTTGCTTGCTTTTCTCTTTGAAAGTCATCACATAAATGCATTGTAATACACGGTTTGGCTGCATTAAAGGGCGGCAGTGGTTCAGTCTGTAGGGGATTGGACTTTGGACCGAAGGGTCGCCGGTTCACGTCCCGATCGGACCAAAAAATACAGAGTGTGGACTGGTACTGGAGAGGAGCCAGTTCACCTCCTGGGCCACTGCTGAAGTGCCCTTGAGTAAGGCACCTAACCCCCAACTGTTGTAAAAAGTGTGTACTGTATTACCTGTATAAAAACGCATGTGTGTGTACGACAGAGTGGAAACTGAATTTCCCCCTCGGGGGATTAATAAAGGTTCTTCTTCTTCTTCTAAATATTACACATCTGCCGTAGTTCTTTATTTATAGAGCCCTGATTAGAAGACTTCTGGACAAACTGGAAGACATTACATTACATGTTACTTATTAGACGCTTTTATCTAAAGCGACGTATACTCAATACTGTGGACAATCCCCACAGGAGCAATTTGTGGTGAAGTGTCTCAGGGACACAACGACATGCTGACTGCAGTGGGGTTTGAACCTGTGCTTCCCTGATCCGAACACCAACGCACTAATCCACTGCGACACACGCAACTGAATACGTGACGTGGATCATAAATATGTCCGCAATTAAACACCATCTTTAATTTCTCTTCACACAATACTTCTCCTTGCAGTATCAATACTAATTCAGCTGACTTTCATATTTGATCCAATCGGTAGTGATACTGGGTTGTTTGAATCAGCATTACTAACATATTTTCTCTCCCCCCTGTTTATCTCATGTTCACAGAGTTAGTATTTGAAGAAGTGAACAGCGTCAGTGCATCCGGCACCAAGACTGATAGCCTTCAGGTGGAGCAGTAAGCGTTTTTGTGCCCTGCCTCAACCTTTTCATGAAGAAGGACCATATACTACATGACTGGGGGAAGAACTGTGGCAAGCCAACCGAAGAAAACTCTACATTCCCTCTGCTCAGTGTGACTCTGTTCGATTGCCTTTCATGAGTTTATTTGAGCAGCAGGGCAGGACGGTGTCCACAGGAAAAGATACACACATTGCAATTACAGGGAGCATTTTAGATTCCAATAGAAGGAGCTTCCTCTTATGTTTTCGCTCATTGAATGTAAAATGAGGAACCATTCAACATGGCTGTCAGGGATCGCAAAGGGCGTGAGGATTCATACAAGGGAGCAACTTTAGGAACTGAACTGGGTTTACAGGCTGATAGAAAGGTATTGAAGGAAAGAAAACACGCACACTAGGATTTCCAAAGCAACTACATAGTGCCGTCTGGTCCCTCCTCATGACAAATGTCATAAGCAGTCAGTTCTCTCATATATGGAATTCATGTTTAAAGGCTTGCAGCACTGCCACGTCATGTCGCAGAGCAACTTAACATTTAACCTGCATACTACTGCATGATTTCTGTGCATTTTGATTATTACAGAATATTACTGCTATTGTACTGTATAACCATTAAAGCTGCTTATTGCATCTGCCACACGCAGCCTGAGGGCCGGAGAGAGGCATTATCAAAACATGTGACCAACTTATAACAATAACACAAAAGCAGACAAGAAATACTGTACTTCCTCAGACGAGAGTCATCCTCTCCTGCTTACAAAGTAGTAAACACCAACTGTGCTACTAATTAGCAAGGGAATAAATATATGCCAAAACTGGAGCAGAATGACTGTGTTGCAGGTCTGTGTTTACTGTGCTGTCGCTTCACATATACACTTTTCCCTGATGTCTGGCTTCTGATCACCTGTTGGCTGTGGCAGCGCTCCGTCAGGTTTCCATGGTTCTCTGCAGTGAGTTTTACAGCCCGGTTATTGTTTACAATTGTTTAGATTATGGGCCTTTGGTGCTGGATAATAGTTACCCCAGCTTCATCAAAATAATTGTTTGATTGCTCGTGGCATATTTTCTCATGTTCTTCTTCATGTCATTGGGCGCTATGATGAAACTAATACAGTGTGTACACATTCATAAGCGTTCACAGTATTCAAGCACTGGAAATGTTCTTCACTTTGATTTGGGATATTTGAATAGCAGTTCAAGAAAGTTACAGGGAACATATATAAGCAGCATAAACTCAATACATACAGATTATTACAAAAAATGACTTCCTCACTGACATTGGGTCAGCCATCTTGCATCAGACTGGAGTTTCAGTTCTACAAACTTTTTGCTGAGGTAGTAATAATCTGCTTGTATTAAACCACAGTGTGCAGAGGCAGCAAACCACAGGTTGTCCAGCCGAATTGAATGCAACTGGGGTTCATCGGACAAATATCTGATCATTTTAATGGCATAACCCTCAACCTTAATAGATGTGGTATCACATATAAGATGCATTTGAAATAAACAAGACATCATGTGGTGGTTTGGCCCCATTTTAGTAAATTGGAGGGTTTATCGACAGATGACCCATCTGGAGATAAAAGGCTAATAAATGAGCATACACATAAATCCAGTTTATATCTGACTGCTGCAGATGTGTTTTTATAAGTAAGATAAGCTAGGTTGTCATACTATCATACCTAAAGTATGTAGTATACACATGGTTGGCACCTAAACTCATTGGCTACTGATATAAAATGAACAATAGAAGGAGATCAATCTTAGCTAGCTAGGCTAGCTAGGTTAAATTCAATTAAATTCATGTACTGTGGCTTTTCCCACTCAAGTCTCACCAAACCAATGAGATCATTTCTGGCGTCAAAAAACATTATCAGAGCTAAACCATAAATTGATCAAAAAGTATTAAAGAACACAGTACAGGAAACCTCCTCCTCCCAATGTAGCCTTTTCTGCAGGTCTTCCATTAACAGTGGAGGCGAAATGTTGAATTTACAGTCCAAATGAATCTAAACTGTATGTGTCAGTCGAAGCGTGTCAGAGCTCTGAATGTTTAAGTGTTATGTGCTTTATGTGGATGTTGTATCTGTGGTGGAACTGAAAAGCAAACTGCAAATCGAATGTATACGTATACTGTATGTATGTTACAAGTGTTTTTTAAAACATGGTGGAATGTGATTTAACATTAGCCATGACTTTCAAATCACTGAACTGAATGTCAACAATCAGTTTCAAATGATTCAGATGATTTTCTTATTCATCATCTACGCTGGGTTATGCTCGGCAAGTGTTAGCATCAATCGAATAAACACCATCAGTTCTGTTATGTTTCTTGTCTTATTTAGTGAAACATTCAGTCTTTTTGTGTGAATATAAAGTTTCCACCTGTTTGGCAACAGTTTGGAGAAGGCCCTTTCCTGTGTCTCAATCAAGTTTAGTAAAGAGACAGTTATTCCAGTCTGGGTCAGAGGAACATGACTGCCCTTCACAGAGCCTTGACCTAAATCCCATCAGCACCTATATGGGATGAAAACATTGTAATAGGCCTTAGGGGTCAGTCAGGTAGCGAAAACCTGTATAAGACGTCCTTGAAAAGTGAAGGCTGTGTAGCAGCACGTTGCTTCACATGGTCTCCGGGTGAGATGTACATCAACATGATACACTGAAGCAGAGTTGTCCACACTGAATCCATTGAAAGGGAAGCCTATTCATTACCTATTAAAAAATAAATAATAAAACATATATTCAGAAAATTGTATTAAAAGTTCTTAAAAACGACAATAAAATGTCTAGACTATTCACAGGAAATTCGTTCAAATTCACTAGTTATACACACACTTCCTGAAGTCATTGTGTTCACTGTTTGGATGAGCTGTATCCTTAAATAATCCATAATTAAATGTTAAAGAATTACTAACATATTTTACTTGAATACAAGTCACATGGTGTAGTAATATTACATATAAAATGTTCTGCATTTGAACATTTAACTGAGTAAACACAAAATAATTAGCATCGCCATATTGTTGAAGTACTAGGAGAATAATTCTTCCTCATATGCAGAATGGTCTATTTTAGAATTATATATTGGATTCAATTATTGATGCATTAATAAGTATGCATTACTCATTTTGCAGCTGTTAGAGGTGGGGCTAAAGGACTACTGCCAGGTAGCTTAATCCATATTAAACTCATAAGACTTTATTCGTTGACTGAAATGTTGCATTAATACTCTCAACCTTAAAAACTAGAAGAGCCAGAAGTAACTGAAGGTGGAAAATAATATAAAAAAATATAATAGCCAATATTGTACTTTTCCTCCACTACCTTTATCTGACAGGTATAGTTGATTTACAACTTCAAATTATTATAGTCAATACAAAATATACATATCAACTATTAAATAAATATTGACCAGTAATTAGCGGTTAATATATCCAGCAGCAGTAAATAATGTCATTAACATTAGCTCCAACTTTACCAGCTGTGATGAACACATTATTGCATCAATAATCAGAATACAGTCATTTATTATATGATTCTGAAATAAGCCATTATGCATAACAGTAGTTTCACTTTTGGTTCTTTAAGTACATTGATGCCGATACTTTTATACTTTTAATTAGACATCTATTGCACGTCTGTCCGTCCTGGGAGAGGGATCCTCCTCTGTTGCACCCCCCGAGGTTTCTCCATTTCCCCATTAACTTCGGGGTTTCTTTGGGAGGATTTCCTTGTCCGATGTGAGGGTCCAAGGAGAGAGGGTGTCGTATTCATATTCTGTACAAGCATAAAGTCCACTGAGACAACGGATAGAATGTGTGATATTGGGCTATATGAATGAACTTTGATTGATTGACTTAGGTACGATTTTGAATGCAGGTAATTTACTTGTAACAGAGTATTTTTACAATGTGTAATTGTAAAGGATCAAAGTACAGGTAGTGTGTGTACTATGCAGAAATATTACAGAAACATGCTTGCCAGAGTATTATGCGGTGTGACCTTAGGGTGGGCAGATGTTTTCTGGCTTATTCCCCACATTGTAGACACACCCATGACTAACAATGTGTGTGTGTGTGTGTGTGTGTGTGTGTGTGTGTGTGTGTGTGTGTGTGTGTGTGTGTGTGTGTGTGTGTGTGTGTGTGTGTGTGTGTGTGTGTGTGTGTGTGTGTGTGTGTGTGTGTGTGTGGGGGTGGGGGGGGGGGGGGGGGGGGGGGGGGCGCATCTCTCCGTGTTGAAGTTAAACCTGTTTGCTCTCTCGCCCCGGAGCAGCGCTCTCTCTCCTGTCCTCAGCTCTCCACTCGGTATGGCTATGCGGGCCAGGACGGGATTCTACCGGCAGGAGGTGAACAGAACCGTGTGGGAGGCTCCGGAGAGGTACCGGGACCTGAAGCAGGTCGGAACAGGCGCGTATGGAACCGTATGGTCAGTTCAACTTTACGCCTCAGAGAAATACTGATGGAATGCTGCTCTCAGCTGATTTGTAGCCACTGTTTATGCCATGTTGGACTTAAGGCAATTCTTTTCTATAAACATGTCTTATTTGTATTTTTTATTTGCAATTGGTAAGAGGCAATACAGAATTGTGAGCTACTTTATGTATATTAGTAGGCTATTTTAAGTATTTTCCAGTTGTATACATAAATCACAAGAAACGTTGAACCTATTCCTAATGCATGAGAAACAAACAATTGACCCAAAGTAAATAACCATAGATCATTTAATGACCTTTAATACCTTATTATCCTCAGATAATAACTTAAATACTTTAAATTCTATTCATTCTATAATATTCCTGCAGCGGTAGTGTGTGATATTTTGGTCAGCAGTCTCTCCACAGCTGGCTCTGCAGGGCCTCTGCATTGTGTTGTATGTATGAGGGTCAACAAAGAACCCCCCCAGTCTCATTGTTGGAAGTCGAAGACCCCGACTGAAGTGTTTAGAATCCGCCACCACATTGTCTTCATCACAAACAGAGCTTTTCCACGGCAGACCTTGTGACTTTGCCTAGCAAGAAAGGAACAAGTGTAAATGATGTCATCAACGAAGCACTGCTTCATTTAGATCCAGTTACACTTGTGGACTTCCTTATGGACATGTTTAAATGCCTGCAAATGTAACCTGTTCAGAAGCGTTCTTTGATAATAAACCTGTGTCTGTGTATTTCAGTTCAGCATGGGACCGCCGGATGGGGGCGCAGGTGGCCATCAAGAAACTTCACCGGCCCTTCCAGTCCAAACTGTTTGCAAAAAGAGCGTTCAGAGAGCTGCGACTCCTCAAACACATGAAGCACGAAAATGTAAGAATGTGCCTCACACTGACAGACAAAGAGGGACCTGTAATCTGAAGCTATACAAAACATCTTCAGTGTGAGGGTGAAGGGACTCCAGCGTGATGTAAAGGCATATTAGACAGGTTGAAGGGGAAAACTGTTTATTTGTTTCATTATAACCAAACAGTCATGAATACATTATATTTCAATCAGATTTGATGTTGACCTCATTCCTCCTGATCAGGTCATTGGGCTGCTGGATGTCTTCACTGCTGAGATCGCATTGGACCGCTTGCGTGATTTGTAAGTTCCTGTGCGTCCCTGAACGTTGATTATGAAACAGGACGAGTGGAGTGATACAAGTCCTCTTCTCTTGTCCAAAGTTACCTGGTGATGCCGTTCATGGGAACCGACCTCGGAAAGTTGATGAAGATGGAGAAACTATCAGAGGACCGAGTGCAGTTCCTGGTCTATCAGATGCTGAGAGGACTCAAGGTGAACCAACGCTGAATGCATGTCCCTCATTACTTCTACCATCAATGTGTGTGTGTGTGTGTGTGTGCGTGCATGCATGCGTGCGTGCGTACGTGCGTGCGTACGTGCGTGCGTGCGTGCGTATGTATGTATGTATGCATGTATGTATGTATGTATGCATGCATGTATGTATGTATGCATGTATGTATGTATGTATGTATGTATGTATGCATGTCAGTCCGGGCTTTGTTTTTCTTAAAAAGCCGTTGATCTGATCTACTTCAATTGCTGGGTGTATAATGACTGAAGTGTGGAGCTGTCTCTGAGAGATACAGACAGATGTTATGTGGTGTGATATGTTGACCCTGTGTAGCGTATAGACAGGGGTACAGCTTGCTGTGTGTTACTCAATACAATATTAACTGTCATAACGCTTAAGCACAGTGTGTAGAGGATGTCATGCACTGTTCAAAATAATGTTTGGGTTTAGGTCGAGTTCGGCCTACTTGCCATGGTCGTTCTTTTTAGTGACAATATAATGTACCCTAAAAATCGGTGACCTAGGGTCTGTGATTGGCTGCTTCTTGTTCAGTTGGGTCTGGTGTAAGCTTTTGCATTAAAATGACTCTGGCGTGTCATGATTGATGTTGACATGATTATGTCAGCCATATCATGACAGCTACATTGCTCAGCAGCCAGGGGAGTGCTGTTACAAGAGTGAAGTTGTATGTATAAGCCGTTTGATAAAAAAAGCTGCGCGCAGCAGTACATGCGGCCACGTAATCGCCCATCTTGAACAGGCACTGCACTATTTATGAAGAATTACAAACAAGTGAGGGTCATTTACTTGTTTTGGTGAGTAACTCACTGAGAAGTTGCTTATGTGGTCTTTGTCTCCTCTCTCCGCAGTATATCCACTCTGCAGGGATCATTCACAGGGTGAGTGAACTTTGACCTTTCAGACTCTGAGCTGTGGGGGTGGGGCTGTTGCTCTTTTTCATGTTTAGTCCCATTCATTCTGATTCCCACACAGGGAGCTCCTATTTTCAAGACAGAATGGTACGCTGAATTTTGTCATTGAAAAGTCATTTACATCTCTTTATAACTCTACCCACCCAGGTAACTGCTTACTGCATGGACAGATTGGAGTACCAGTCGAATTAGGATGGATACATCTTGAAAAATCGGAATATTCCTATATATCTTTAATGGGTGGTGGATATCTAAGCAAAAGGCTTGAATAATATCATTAAAATTAAAGGATTTCATTATAAAATTATATTAAAGGTGGGGTAGGTAAGTTTGAGAAACCGGCTCGAGATCGCTAGAATTTGAAAATACTAGGGCTGTCAAGTTAACGCGTTAATAACGCGTTAACGCAAAAAAAAATTAACGCCACTAATTATTTTAACGCGATTAACGCATGTGTATTTTTTGTCCTCGGCCGCCGTAGTTTCAGAGCGCATCGAGTTTAAAATACCATCAAGCTGATGCTGACAGCCCCGCTCCTGCTGCCCGCTTGTGGCAGACCACACTTCCACGCTCACCGGCAGGCCCGGACTGGCCATCGGGAGGACCGGGAGGGTGTGTGTATGTGTGGCGCGAGCGAAGCACACCTTACGTGTTGTTGTTAGCATCTGGTGCTAGCTAGCTGAGCTAACGGATATAAGGAGCTGTTTCAATGAAAACAGAGGAGCGACATTTCGCCGACAACTGCGCCGAGCACTTGACTTTATGCAGGTAGCCAGACAGCACACTCAGCACGGATAGTGCGCGCAACACAGCTCATACACACAGGCATATATGCCTTGAGCCGCACATAGCTCCAACGATCCATCACAGTGTCTCCACATTCACACACACACACACACACACACACACACACACACACACACACACACACACACACACACACACACACACACACAGTATTGTATTATTGTATGAGAGAGGTTCTAGGTTGAATTGAGGCAAATATTTGTAATGTTCAGAGGTTGTTGTGTTTAATATTCATGAGAATATTTGTCATTGTTCAAATGATAATAAACAAACATATAAAGCATAGTTGTCCACTCATATGTTGATAAGAGTATTAAAAACTTGAAAAATATCCCTCTAAGGTACATTTAGAACAGATAAAAAATGTGCGATTAATTTGCGATTAATCGCGATTAACTATGGACAATCATGCGATTAATCGCGATTAAATATTTTAATCGACTGACAGCCCTAGAAAATACACAACCGGAGAAAATCTGCCACTTCCTTATAGAGCCCCTCCTCCAACACACACGAACGTACACATGACCAATGAGGGCACGAGATAAGTTTGTATTCCACAGTATTCCATTCTGTGGAACTTTCTGTCCATTGAAGTTGAGAGAGCAGTCACCAACTCTGTCACTTTCCTCTTGGTCACTTGTGTCTGGTTGTAGGCTGTGATTTTCTGCAGACCCCTGCAGAGGAGTAGCATTTTGGAGGATGTCACATAGCTGAAAAAAGAGAAAACAGTAACTCAGAAAGAATTATGCTTTGTTTTATTATGTGGTATATGGACTTTGCTCAGTTTATTCTTGTTTGATATTACTGACATTCACATCTAAAATGTTCCTTAAAGGTGGGGTAGGTAAGTTTGAGAAACCGGCTCGAGATCGCTAGAATTTGAAAATACACAACCGGAGAAAATCTGCCACTTCCTTACAGAGCCCCTCCTCCAACACACACAAACGCGCACATGACCAATGAGGGCACGAGATAAGTTTGTGCCCCGATGGAAGGCTGACAGGCAGGTAGGCCATCCAGTTATTTTAGCCGGGCCGGCTAAAATGATTGGTCATGCTTTTTACAGTATTACGGCTTCCACAGATGACATTTTTTTATGGATTTTTTGTCAAAGCACTTAAGATATTCATTGCTATCGGGATGTTAAGAGCATTCCATGGAATATAACAAAAAGGGTATCTCGAGCCAGTTTCTTAAACTTACCTACCCCACCTTTAATTCTTCCTTCAAAACATGGAAAGAAAATACAGATCATTTTCTTCCAGTGACACTTCCCCTGATCTCCTCTGTCTCACATTTGTGTTTCCCACAGGACCTGAAACCTGGAAACTTAGCCATTAACCCAGACTGTGAGCTGAAGGTAAGTTCACATAAAGCAGTTTTTATGTGAACATCCCAAACACCTTCACGTTTTCATGGATGGTTCTGATTCTCCTGCTTCAGATTCTTGATTTTGGCTTGGCGAGGCAGGCCGACGCTGAGATGACCGGCTACGTGGTGACGCGCTGGTACCGAGCACCCGAGGTCATCCTCAACTGGATGCACTACACACAAACTGGTAAACTCTCCTCACAGGTTGTGTCAACAGGAGTGCATTGAAAGACAAAGACACGTTTTATAAAGCAGATTGAAAGAGAAGGCTGATGTTTGCTCTCTGTTGCAGTGGACATCTGGTCGGCAGGTTGTATCATGGCAGAGATGCTGCTGGGAAAGCCGCTGTTCAAAGGTAGTGATCGTATCCTTAAATGTCTCAAACTTTATCAATACATTATTTAGAGTAACTTTGGTATTTTTTTACCTTGATCCCATTTTCCCATGCATTTGTGTCCAAGACAATAATGATGAATTGTTGAAATTGGTCCAGTATTGAGCCTCCAGCAGCAGCCACACGGGGGGCAATGTATTCATATCTGAAATATCACAAGAGGATTGGGCCTAATCCACATGGTGAAATCAGCAAAAATATTTATCTGTGGCATTTATAATCTTTACACAATCAAACCACACTCTGACAACACCAACACTCCTATTTTCAGTCAGCTCTCACTAGATTTGAGAACGAGACTCCTCCTTGAGCAACACTTGATCACACACATTAACAAACAGACCGTACCAAGCTAAAGGTAAAGAAACTGATAATTATTCTGTAGGGTAGGTCTCTTGATGTTGTTGTTGTTGACAGCTAAAACAAGAATCTGAGACAGTCTGGGTCACTTTTAGGGGACGTACATTGACAGTGCACATCCAATACTGTGCCAATTATTTAATGAATTGTTTATTGTCCCCATTTGGTCTCCTAACAAGAAAACATGGGGAAATAGGGTCCAAGTGAATTACCTTTTTAGATATTATCACTGTTCGTACATGTTGATCGTATTCTATAACTAGCATTATAAACTGAATATGTGAATGAATATGTGAAAGGTAAAGATCCATGCAACAGATTACACTTGACCATAGCTACTGCCAGATCTGGACCAGCTCAGAGAAATCATGAAGATCACAGGAACCCCAGCTGCTGACTTTGTGGTGAAGCTACAGAGCCAAGATGTGAGTCGTACCCTGAGTTTACCCTGATGTAGTACAAACACTCCCAATACAAACACACTCACTGGCTCTTCATTTCAAATGTTGGTGCAATACGTTTGAGGAACCCTTTATGAACTTCATCATAGTGTCAGTGAAGAGTGTCAGTGTGTCATCACATCAGAACCCTGTCCACATCTAACTTCTCTGTTACTGATGCACATTTATTAGCACACCAACATTGGTCATCCTCCTCTCTACTTCCTCTCTCCACAGGCCAAAAACTACATCAGAAGTCTACCCAAAGTGCCAAAGAAAGACTTGCACTCTATTTTCTCCAAAGCCAGCTCCAATGGTAGGTAAAGGTCTTTGTCCCACAGTAAACCCTGGTGTGTGTGCACTGAACTCATGCTGACCTCGACATGTATCTCTGCACCACAGCAGTGTGTGTGTTGGAAAAGATGCTGCTCCTGGACCCCGAGCAGAGGGTGAGCGCCTCACAGGCTCTGGATCTGCCTTTCTTCAGCGAGTTCAGAGACACTGAGGAGGAGACGGAGGCGCAGCCCTACGATCAGACCATGGACAACACAGACCTGCCGTTGGACCAGTGGAAACGTAAGAGAGGGGAAGAAGCTAGTTAAGATATGTATAGTGTACATATATTACATATGCAGTGGCGGCGCCAGGGTATGGCTGGGGTAGGCTACAGCCATACCAAGAAATGGCTTAGCCCCACCATGAAAAATGATGTTAAAGTAAGCATGTCGAGAACACGGATTGCGAAAATATACCGGTCGTGTCCACAACACACAAACTGATCCTGCTGTAACAAGTGCACGTTACTGATGCAATATGGTTGAGACCATTCAGGCTTATGCTAGAAGAGGGGTGTAAGGAATAGTCTAAGTAGTGGGGGAGTTTTATACCCTAAAGGTGTGGAAATTCTCTTGCGTTATAATATCAGCGCGGCCGCGGTCAGATCAAAATGCCTCCGAATGCAATTTGAATAGACCTACAGCCAATCAGAGCAACAAAACGTTGGGTCTGCGTCATGCCTTTGATTGAGATCTGTCGGAACCGCCATTCAGTATCCCCATTGGATCTTCAACGTGTACTATCATACGTCACGTTCACAGTGATCCCTTTTTATTTACTACAAGACAAATGTGCCGTTTTATTTCATACAGTTCCATTTTGATTGAGACAGGGAAATAATCTAAACCTCACGCGTGGCGTTTCACTGTCAAGGGGGCGATATAGCGTGTATGTAATTACATTGCAAATACTGACTTGAGCCCCACCACTGTATGGGTTAGCCCTACCATAGATTACCCAACAAAAATACTCTGGAGCCGCCACTGTACATATGTCAGGGGTGTCCAAACTTTATTCACTGAGGGCCACATACAGAAGAACATACAAAGGGCGGGGCCCTTCACTAGAGGTATATTGTGACCATAAGGTAAGTTATAAGTTAGCAATATCAATCAAAAGTAGGTAAACTATGCTTGATACTTGAATATGCTTTAAGAAAAAAACAGCCTACAACACAGCTCTCTGTAGGGTTTAATTTATTGTGTTACATCCCTTAATCAGAAGCCTCAGATTGCTTATAATAAGGGGAAATATGAAGGTTCATTTCAAGCTTGTTCTGGAAATGGGCTTTTATCAACTAAGATTTGCTAGAAAATGTTTTCAATTTTAATTGACCGAATTTATTTTAAATGTGGGCTTATTAACACATGAAAACTATTGTGTAATATGTTTACATATATTTAAGAAGTACAATATAAGATAAGCACAATTTTCAGGTGCGGCAATATTCCATTATACTTTTAGAATTAGCTGTGAGGAAATTTGAACAAGGGCCGTAGGACACCCCTGACATATGTGGAATGTAATAAATGATGTTTTAGTGACAAATCTCACAAAAGATTGTACCAGAATTTAGAATTTTTAAGTTTAGGTTTTAAGTCCACTTAACGTTCACTCTCACTGCTCTTATCAATATTGTTTCACCCACAGCAGCTGTTTTAGTGAAAAGCTCTAAGTTTACTCTACCTGCCCAACAAACAGTCAGTCTGGTGAACATAATGGTCTATACGCAGCTGGAGGGCCAGACGTTTCCTCAGACAAACAGTGTCCTGTTACAGTACCTGCTGTTGGCCAGAAGAGGTCACTAAAGATCTCAGAACGTACTTGATGATTTATCATGTATTATTATTATTATTATTATACACAGAAGGTGGAACAGGAGAAAAAGCATTTGTAAGAGAAGCTGTTTAATCCTCTGCTCTGTGCTGCAGGTCACACCTTCACAGAGATACTGACCTTCAGACTGCCCAGGGACTCCAGAGAGACGGCACTTTAAGAGCACACACACACACACACACACACACACACACACACGCACACACACACACACACACACACACACACACACACACACACACACACATACACACACACACACACACACACACACATGCACACACACACACACGCACACACACACACACACACACACACACACACTCACACATACACACCTGCACCATTCTTTTCTTGTTGTTCTTGGTGCGTTTTGTAGCACTAATTGATATTCATAGTTTGTTTGAATTTTGTCTTCAATAAATGAGATTTTCTTAATTGTTAACTGGCTCAGTTGTGTTTTAATCTGTATTATTGTGGGTATGTGTGTGTCTGCATATGTGTGTGTGTGTTTGTGTGTGTGTGTCCCAAATTACTTATTATCCATCCACAACATGTTTGAACTAATATGAACTGCTACCTCTTCCTCAAAGTCAGTCCCTCCATTATGTAGCAGTCGTTCTTGTCTGTTTGCATTTGGACCATTTATTCTGATGATGGACACATGTCTGGCTTTAAGGACGAAGTCACCTGTTGAAGAGTACCAAGGGGAATTCTGGGAATTCAGGAGCGAATAATGTTCACATCAAATTAACCACTGCAAGTCACCAAAACATAAATAAAACCATTTATAACATAATTATAAAATAGTATTTGAGGTTTTTCCCTCTGAGCCGGGGCCCTGCCTGCCAGTAGCTTTGCCGATATCTGTGTTGATAGGTAATAGATTAAGAGCGGTGAATCAGCTTAGAAACAGGAAGTGCTCAAACGTTTGTGTGAGGTTATCAAATTTAGCAGTGATTCCATGTCAGCCACAGCTTGTCACAACAAATCTTACTGATAGTGTATTTAACAAACTTAAACTAGCTTTATTAAATGTCAGGTCTTTGGCAGGAAAAACATTTTTAATCAATGATTTTATCACTGAGCACAATCTCGATTTTATGTTTTTAACGGAAACTTGGATTGAACAAAATAACAGTGCAGCTGTCCCTCCCAACTTTAGTTTTATGAGTCAGGAAAGAATGCATAAGAAAGGGGGTGGAGTTGCTATTTTGTTCAATGATTCCATTCAATGCAGGAAGACATCTATGGGGACTTTGCTTCTTTTGAATATGTGGCCCTTCAGCTGAAATGCTCCTCTCGAGCTCTGTTCCTAAATATCTATAGACCACCCAAATACAGTGCAAGCTTTTTTGATGATTTTACTGAACTGCTGTCTATAGTGTGTATTGACTTTGACCGTCTAGTCATTGTTGGTGATTTTAACATCCATGTTGACAACCCCCAGGACAGAGGGGCTAAAGAACTGTTTTGTGTTCTTGATAACTATGGACTGACTCAGCATGTGGCGGAGCCCACGCACAATAAGGGGCACACTCTGGACTTAATTATCTCAAAGGGTCTGAATATCTCAAAGGTTGTGGTGACTGATGTTGCACTCTCTGATCATTCCTGTGTTTTCTTTGAGAGCTCTATTTCGGTTCACAAAAATGTTCAGAAAGAGGTAACCACAAAGCGATATTTAACTGAAAATCCACACTTGCCCCTGCTAACATCTCAGTAAATGAGCTGTTAGATCATTTTAATTCAAAAATTAAAGATGTTATAGATACCATTGCTCCAACTAAGGTAAAGGAAGTGATTGGCAAGAAAATATCTCCATGGAGAAAGGCCATGACCGTGAGAACAGAAAAAAGAGAGTGTCGAAAAGCTGAACGCAGGTGGCGAAAAACAAATCTCCAGGTTCACTTTGAAATCTATAAAGAGAGACTTGGCCTTTATAATTTGGAATTGAAAAACGCACGACAGTCTTTCTTCTCTGACATCATTACCAAAAACAACGCACGTGCCTTGTTTGCTACCGTCGACAGACTAACTAACCCCCCAGTGTCAGTAGCCTCTGAATTTCTATCCACCAGGGCGTGCAATGATTTTGCCTCCTTCTTCACTGACAAAATTCAGAAAATTAGACAAGCAGTCAGTGCCTCTGCATCAGGTACAGCAAATGTGTTTGCAAATGTGTCCACTTAAAATCAATTCAAACACCATGACACAATTCTATCAGATTAATGATAAAAACTTAGAGGACATTATTCAACTTCTGAAATCCTCCTCCTGCTGCCTTGATATTATTCCAACAGGATTTTTCAAAGATGTTTTTCCTTGCATGGCCTCAGATCTACTTCATATAGTAAACACATCTCTTCACTCAGGTATTTTTCCAGAGGCACTGAAAACTGCAGTCATTAAACCGCTCTTAAAAAAGAATAATCTAGATGCTTCAGTAATGAACAATTACAGGCCAATATCAAACATGCCATTTCTAGGTAAAATCATTGAAAAAGTAGTTTTTCAACAGTTGAGTAACTTCTTGCATTTAAATAACTGTTTTGATGTGTTCCAGTCAGGCTTTCGTCCAAACCACAGCACTGAGACTGCTCTTGTAAAGGTCTTCAATGACATCCACTTAAACACAGACAGTGGCAGAACTTCAGTGTTAGTATTATTAGATCTCAGTGCTGCGTTTGACACTGTTGACCACAACATATTACTAGACCGACTAGAAAACTGGGTGGGACTTTCGGCAACAGTTCTAAATTGGTTTGAGTCCTACTTAAAGGACAGAAAAAACTTTGTTTCTATAGGTAAATACACATCTGAGTTGACAAATATGACATGTGGGGTACCTCAAGGCTCCATCTTGGGGCCTCTTCTCTTTAACATCTACATGCTACCACTGGCTCAGATAATGAAAAACAACTAAATAAGTTACCATAGCTATGCGGATGACACACAAATTTACGTAACAATTTCACCAGGAGATTATGCTCCAATTCAAACACTGAGTAAGTGCATTAAACAAATCAATGAGTGGATGTGTCAGAACTTTCTCCAATTAAACAAAGATAAAACTGAGGTAATGGTTTTTGGAGCCAAGGCAGAACGTATAAAAGTTAGCGCTGAGCTTCAGTCTGCAATGTTCAAAACAACAGATAAAGCCAGAAATCTAGGTGTAGTCATGGACTCTGACCTGAGTTTCAACAGTCACATTAAAACAGTTACTAAATCAGCCTACTATCACCTAAAGAACATATCTAGGATTAAAAGACTAATGTCACAGCAGGATTTGGAAAAACTTGTCCATGCTTTTATCTTCAGTAGACTCGACTACTGTAATGGTGTCTTTACAGGTCTCACTAAAAAATCTATTAGAAAGCTGCAGCTAATTTAGAACGCCGCTGCTCGAGTCCTCACTAACACTAAGAAAGTGGATCACATCACTCCTGTTCTGAAGTCCTTACACTGGCTTCCTGTGTGTCAAAGAATAGATTTCAAAATATTGTTGCTGGTTTATAAAGCTTTGAATGGTTTAGGCCCAAAATACATGTCTGACCTACTGCTAAATTATGAACCATCCAGAACTCTCAGGTCTTCAGGGACTGGTCAGCTTTCTGTCCCCAGAGTCAGAACTAAACATGGAGAAGCAGCATTCAGTTATTATGCTCCAAATATCTGGAACAAACTCCCAGAAACCTGCAGGTCCGCTGCAACTCTTACTACTTTTAAATCCAGGCTGAAGACTTTTCTTTTTGCCGCTGCTTTTAATTGAACTATTCACATCTTAAACTGCACTGTAACTTTTATCCATGTATTTTTTCTTTTAATGTTTATTTTATTATCTTTTCTTTTTAATGACTCATTTTAAATGCCATTTTCTTAATGTCTTCCATTTTTGTAAAGCACTTTGAATTGCCTTGTGTTGAAAGGTGCTATATAAATAAACTTGCCTTGCCTTGCCTTGATGTTGCCATCTTGTATATACATTTTTCCAATATAAAATTCCAATACACCTCTATAATGAACAGATCTGAGACATGCCCCTATTTGTGTCTCATGCCATTATGGTATTTGTAAGAAATCCCTCTCTTTAGAATTGCTTTTATGTGATACTACTTTTAGTCGTATTTTATTTTTCATTTATTCTCATTCTATGTATTTCTATTTTATTATTTGCTCTGTTTTTGTATGTATTCTCATGTTTAGTTGAATTTTTGAATTCACTTGTTGTCCGTGTGTTTGTATGTTAAAGCATAAAATAAAGTGTATTATTATTATTATTGGCCGTCCTACATATATTACTCAAACGCTGAAATGGACTCCAGGCCAGAAGCCAAAGCACTGCTGCTCTGTAATCCTCCACTAACCCTTTCAATGGATGAGAAAATCTACAAACACTTGGGGTGAAACTGTGAGTCACATTCTAAGGAACTGATCAGCCATTCTTTAACATCAATGGAGTTTCATAAGAGTGATTAATATGTTTCTGCTCAGCTCTCTCTGATAAGAGCTGTTTGCCCGCTGACTTTGACTGACTTTGACTTTAGAGCGGACTGTTTCCTGGGAGCTGAACACTTCAGATTGTTATGGGACAATGGATCATACCTACACATCTAAAAAAAATGGGAGGAAACTGGAATCACTGCAGACTGCTGATGCTGCTGTTTCTGACAGGTAGTACAGGGATCTTCATTCTGAAAAAAATCTATTGTTATCTATGAAAAATATGGCACAGTGTCAGAGTGCTGCATTCAGATTTAATTTGCTGTTGGGAAACGTTTTTTTTAGTGGGGAGACTCTTCAGTTAGTTCCACCTTCATCAGCTACAACAGTAAATGCTTCTTACAATTCAAAAATATTAAACATACTACATCATCTTTTTACTCATACTATTTCGGTTTTGCTCTTCACGCTGTTTCAACGCAGTCTCACGGCATTTCATGTTATAGTCACGAAATTAATTGAATCTATTGATTCGTGTTCACCAACACGAATTTTGCATTTTTTTCGTGTCTCACAGAACGATTTTAAAAGCAATGTATTTCTATTGGTAGTATGTTTCGTGCCTGCACCACGTCTTTTTGTCCTGTCGGGTCTTGGAATACCAGAAGCTGTGTGGTTCATAAAAACATTTTCTTACTCAATATCTTACCCTAAGCCTAACCCTATCCCTTTTATTTTAAATTGTATAATGTCTGAGTTTGAAACATACCACCAATATAAATACATTGCTTCTA